AGGATAAAAGACCCTTCAAAACGCTCTTTAAACAAGCTTGAGTAATAATGTATCATAGCTTAAATTACAAGAATGTCATCAAATCAACCCAACTGCTGCTCTCAGGGAATGTGAATATAATTAAAATGTAAAACTCCTGTATGCTACTCACTGTATATTTTAAAAAACATACAAATTTTGATTGTAAAATAGTTTAAAAAATTGCCCCATTATTCTGCTGCTGTCATCAAAGGTGCAAACGCACACTTTATATTGTGCTTTTTGTTTTGCAAGACTTCTTCTTTGGCGTGGTATGTAATTTCTATTCAGGTATGGCAATGGTTGGTAAACCAATTACAACTTCACCTCAGTTTAATCAAAGCTTCAACGATTTTTCAATTCCATGCAGAGTGCATCTCTAATTCACCATCTACATGGTGGGTAATGGAGGCATTAGGCCTGTCCTCATCAGACCGAAGTTGCAAAATAACATGTTATTTCTCAAAATTGCGTTTTCACCAGACCGATACATGCATCACAAACTAGCTCGGACGGGCCCAAAATAGCTGGCTATTTTAATTTGGAAACAAGACCAAGATTTCTCAGGATATTTTCTCAACCAAAAAGCCTGCTAATTACAACTGTGGGCTGATGAAGCGCAATTTAGAGATCAGGCTCGTTAAAATAGCAGGCTATTTTGCAACTTGGGTCTGATGAGGACAGGCCTAATGTGCTGGCTGGGTATGTTGTGTTTATGAATCATACAGCTGACATGCTTGTATATACACAGTACTATCGGATGATGGAGACATGAATTGTTATGACAACCCTGAACAATGGAGGATAGGAAAATCAGGACACATATGTTTGATAGATTCTTAGAAATAGGTGCACTTGAAATAATCAATGTGATCTGATGCCCGGGTTTAGAAGACACTTTCTGGGAAATATTACCAAAAAAGTTTTTAAGAGCAACATTGAACACATTAGCTTGCAAGGCCAGCACATGCGACTGATGGAACTATTCACCAATCTTCCTTTTTTTCAATTCTTGTTTCCGATAATACAATGCAATTATCAATGTGATATTCTGATGATGATCTGTTATAATGCATTTTGATACATTGTACCCAAAGGGAGATATTATAGAAACGAACACAAAATTATATGAATGACACAAAAGTATTGCAATAAATCACAAACTCAATAAGAATTATACATTCAAGCAGAATTCTCCACTAGCACAAGGCACTTGCCTTACAGTGCAAGGCACTTCATTTGAACAATTACTATGATTAAAGTTCATGACATAAAATTACTTGACAATATTGGATAAGTAGTAGAATAACTTAATATTGGGTTCGAAAGTACTCAGCAGGTTTAGGTTTTCGATAAGAGAGCACATTTCTAAATCCTATCACTTTGCCAATAAATCATGCCTCAATGATACCAAACGGATTATCCTAATCATTTCTGTCTGTGCATAACTGAATTAGAACCTAAATCAATACTTATGCACTTTGCACATCATGATGAAGCATACAGTCTTCCACAATTTCTTTTTGAGAAACTCTCTTCATCCCCTCAAAACTTCTATAAACACTAATCTCTGCCCATAAAGAGGAGACGATTGGGTAATACAATATTTGTAGCACTGCTGTTCTCGTTGTCATAATTGCTAACTGCACGGCTCATTTACAGAAGAACGCCCACCCATTAATGTCAAGCCAATTAAAGCGAAAGGTAATACCAAGGTGAAATATTTGATTTTCATGTTAAATCTATGTAACTTTAGGACTGGACAAACTAATTTGGGATCTGTAATGAAAATGGGCAGGGAAGAGAAGGGTGAATTGTATAGGTGATTTGGGGAATGCAAAGAAATTTTATGATGAGGTTGGGGGAAAAGAAGTAAGTCAAATAATTTGGAAAGACAATTGCAAGGTGGGACAAAAAGAGAGGTTTGACAGTTGTTTAATAAAGAAAAGCATCATTGTCAATCTAAAACAACTGCTAGCTCTTATTCTGAGGCTTAACAAGGATGACATAAGTTGTCTGTCAATTTTTATTTTTTATCCCCTCTACAATAAACTTCAAAGAGAAAGAAATCAAAATTTGAAGTACCCTACCAAGAGGACCCTCTCCCAAACTCTTCAACTCAAGATCAGTCTTTTGAGTGGATGTAACTAGTAATTCGGAGATTCCAAAGATATACCGGTACTTTGTTTTACAAACATGACTGACAAACTATGCAAGAGGGACCTAACAATTTGCAATTTTAAGTAAAAACTTTATATTTCAGAGAAGCAGGAACAGACTTGTCTTTATATCCAACACTGATGCACACAATGAACCAGGGCACACGCACTTGCATGTACGTACACACACTGATGAAGACCTATTTTCCTATGCTGCTTTCATGCATGAAGCAAGTGTTGTCTATAATCAATGTGATGAGGCTTTGGCATACCAGATCTGACAGTAACAAATCCCTCCTGCCAAGAGGGCTCATCATCAAGACCCTGTGGACCGCCATGTTCATACACATCAAGGAATACCACCTCATCACTATTCAGGAAGATAATACATGTTGCTATGTCAGGCGTTCCCAGTGAATTACACACAAAACGTGACTGTAACAAACCTCCCATGCCACGGCAGTTCATCAGGGTTGCTATGTCAGGCATTCCCCTGCATACACAAGACGTGACTATAAAAAAACCTCCCCTGCCATGAGGGTTTATCATTCCGATCTTGCAGACCGCCATGTTCATATACACAAAGAAATACCATTTCACAAACATTCATGAAGTTAACGGTTGTTGCAAAGTCAGGCAAGCTTAGTACAGTAACATACATATAACAGACCTAAAAGTTACATAGCAACTTCTCCCCCTTGCTTAAGGAGTACATCATAACGAGCCTGTCAAGGACTATAATTCATAGATACATAAAAATGCCATGTAACAATCTTTTATAATGACTAGGAATGTTGCTATGCCAGGTATGCTCAAGTAATGAATGGAATTGTGAGATGGTGTTCATCTGCTTAAACACCCTTCATGACAGGGGATAACTTTATGGATGCTACAGAACAATGGGTCACAAGGGCCATCCCAGGACACTGACAGCCCAAGAGATTGACAGCCTACAAGATCAACGGCCCACAAGACTGACAGACCAAGAGACAAAAACAAACAAACAAACAAAAGAAACATGGTCAGAAGGTGATTGAGATCAATATGTTGGTCTTGTGGCCGTGGGCTGTAGCCGGTATCACAAGCTCTGAAACTTGTCTCCTTAGTCCTGACAGCCATAAGCATAGAAACCAAGTACGATTTCTATAATTTCCTTTCTCCAAAGACCACTTACCAGTAAGCATAGAATTTATTTTTAAATGGGCTGCAATCGATGTGTTTATGCAGTTATAATACCACCCAAGCTGAAATAATGTTTCCATCCTCTCAATAAAACTGTGTGTTCATGAACTTTTAGCACTTTAAAGGTCTTTATGTAGTGGCAACCCCCCCCCCCCCCCCCGAAGAAAATAAATGTATAAATGAATGGAAAGAGGAAAAAATAAAATTAAACGCCCTTAAAATTACATTTTTGTGCCAATGGCAAGCTTAACCAGCATGCTTTCTTTTATCAAATCCAGTGATACATCGATATCACAAGAGTCACAAATGTAGGATACCATCTGAGCAAATGCCAGAATATCAATGAGAAAAAAAAAATACCCATTCACAGTCTTATAATACACATTTTTTATTAATTCTTTTCATGACCGTACAATGAACTTTGTTAATGTCTTCATCTGTTTCCAGTGTATTAACTGGGTGGTTTTTCTAGTTGAGATTAATGCCTAACAAGCATAAATTAACCAAATTTGATGAGTACTGCGCATCTCATTACCATGAGTGGTGTCGCTTGCTGTGCCATATCTGAACACTAATTTTGTGGGGGTTTCCCACTGTATATCTTAACGGCCCTTCAAAGTTGTTGTCTTCTTTCAGTCCTATATGGGGAAAATGTGTCACTAAACAGACAACATCCATTCTTAATGTGGAGTTAAGTGGAAATAAAACCAACAGTGGTGATACGTACAGCACAAATTCGCAGTAAGGAAAATTACCTTGTTGGAGCTGTATTTCATATATGGCACATAGTTGGTAGTATCATTCATTAGAGATCTATACTTTGTATAGAAAAGATTATATAGTACACATGTACATCAATATTTAACTACATGTGTTATGATGCACAAGATATGACACAATAAAATCTTCACGAGCATTCTCTAAATAGTCCTCACTGCATGTGGGCACAGGATACATTCCACTACGATCTCTAACATGCTTGTAGTCAACAAGCCCTTCTGCTTTATTTTGTGTGTCATTCATTAGATAGAGAATTCAAATTATAGGAAGGTGTAAACCATGTCCATCCTTTCAACACTGTCATACATTTTTTTAAACACTTCTTTAGAGTACTAGTAACTTGTGAAATATTTTGACACAAAATTTGAGCTTGGTTTTATGCTCAGTACAATGGGAAAGAAGCATGGTGAATCATTGATCGCCCAAATTGAGCAAAATATATATTTTATGTTTCTAGCCATGTTTTCTTTTTCTATTTGTCCAAGGGGCATGAAATTACAAAGATAAATATAACTAAGTATTATTCTATTTTGACACATAAAGCAATGATCATTTTACATATAAAATGTGGATTGTAGTCCACTTTACAACACATACATGTATATATATAAAGTTCTTGGTAAAGTTCATGTTTGGACATCACTATATAAAGCACTTAGGCAATTTTTATATAAAAACGAGCTAGCCATACATGACTCTGTAACAAAGACAAAGACAAACATAAGGAAGAAAGAGAAAATGAAAAAACAATTCTAATCTTGGCTTGAATGACTATTCCATTCATTGTAGAGTATATAGGAACTGCATTGAAAACATGATCAAAGAACATTTTGCGAGGTTTTAAAATCGATCAGAACTTACTAGGATTGTTCCTTTGCCCATTGGTTTACCACTTTTCGTCTGCAGGTTTCTCTCAGTCTTCTTGGCCGACACGACCTGTAAATAATCACAGATTAAAAGTGAAAGAAATTATAAACATTAGCGCAAATATATCAATCACTTCAATGCTAATGGGGCAGCTTGATTACAACAGATGGGGGGGGGGGGGCAGTTCTTTCTTCTTCTTCTTCTATTGTTAATCTTCAAAGGACTATGTGGAGTATCACAATGATCTGTAAAAAGATGACTAGTTTGTATGCAGGTGCACTAAACATCGGGTCTACACCCTACTCTTTGCGAGAAGTTAACGAGCATAGGGTGTGACTCTCCTACAAACAGGGCCCACTATTAATGTTCCAGTCTGAGAAACAGAGTGTTTCCCCTGAACATGATGAAAGCAATGAGAGCCAGACAATGATCCGATTGGGCCAAACCACCTCCTCCTTTGAAAGGTTTCATTAGCCTTTCCAAGTTTGTGACTATCTTTATCTGACTAAGAACCCTTACAAGTACTGGGGGTGTTTCACAAAGATCCTAAGTCAAACTTAACTCTAAGTTGGACTTTAAAGTTATGGAGAGCCATTTGTAGCCTCGAAATAAAATATATTTGAAAGCCATAATTTCAAGTATTTTAGACTTTTTATCGATACCACATCAAGAACATGAAATCACCTTGATAATAGAAAATATGAATGATTTGAATATGCCATTTAAAATAACTTTTACAAAATATTTTCATAGATGCTAACAGCTTTCCATAATTGTTAAGACCAACTTAGAGATAAGTTCAACTTAGAATCTTTGTGAAACACCCCCGTGATCGCTGTATTCATATCTAACTGAGATAACATTAATTTGATTGGTGTAATGTACAGTGCGTCCTAGAAATAACGAAACCGAGATTCACTAATGTTTTATCATAACTTAATCACAATTATTATTGATAAATGACACATATTTGTAAAGCTTAGATCCTCTTCTTTCATTTGATGCAACTCATATAATGCATATTTCACGCAAGAGTGATTGAAATGAATTTGAAGAGAGGAAACCAAAAAGTCATTTGGCGGACGGTCTGAATTTCAAAGAGAAAATCAAATTTTTAGAAAGTTGAGTTTCTGCTCTTTCATATGACACCTCAGTCATGAAAAATGAGCTAGGAATATTAACAAAGTTCTGTTTGTTAAAAGTAGTGCTTGCATTTCCATAATTTTATTAAACGAATTCGTTTTCATTTGTTGCCTGCCATAGCAACAAATGAAATTAACAACTGTCTTAACTCCGTTTCGTTGACAATCAGCTGTAGACGAAAGACTTCATGCATGTGTCAATTATTAATTATAAATGTGACTAAATTATGATAAAACATTGATAATTCTCGGTTTTGTTTTTTCTGGGACGCACTGTATATTCATGATGGGTTCAATACAATTGTGGTCTAACTCCTATGATTCTTAAAGGGTCTGCAGCCCCTGAAAAATTGTTGAAGTACTGTTTTTTTTATAAAGAAAGCTTATTATTATTAGTTTTAATAGGATAAGAACAAAATAAAGACCCCACACACTACTCTCTTGCATTACACAATTTGTATTAATTTTCAAACCACAGAAAGAGAATTATCACATGAAAAGCGAGGTACGAACTAAGGTAAAAATTTGTTTGAAGCTTTGCTAAAAATGTCTTCCTGTGCTCCGAGTAGCATGCTAGCTCATACTGTCTAGTAATTACACACGCCGTTAACCAATGCTGATTTGACGAGGATTTCATTTTCAAGGTACAGTAAACACTGCCTTCAAGTTTTAGTGGCTGCACTCATCACTACCCTAGTTCCAATGGGAATATGAACTGTTAAAGGCAATGGGTAACATTATTTTTGCAGTAAACAAATGTCTAAACAATTAATTTGGATAAATGCTAATGTTTAAAATAAAAATCCTAAAATGGTACTAGATTGAATGTACGAGGAAATGCGAAAAAGAAAGTAGAAAACTTAAAAGACAATTTGCTATAGAAAACAGTAATGTAGATATGCATAGGTGGGAAAACAATTCCATGAGTGTACACAGGAACACTCTCTGGACCTAAAGTTTTAAACAATAAATATCTTAATATCCAAAGGACTGATCTGGTACTAAGAATCATGTTATTTATGTTTGACCTTACCATTTGTAATTATGATTATAGCAGTCACAAAAACAATAATTTGATTTTCAATCTAAGTCAATATTAACAAATGCCTTTAAGAAACTGATATACAAGGACTATAACTAGGGGCCTGGACAATCAGATGTGGAACAAGCAATTGCAACTAGACAATTTTCCCCTAATGACGATACGGAACAGTAAATACTGCCTTCAACTTCTAGTGGTTGCAGACACCTTGAGTTTGGTTCAAGTGAGGGACAAGAGCCAAAGATGTGAAACCAGCAATTGCAATATACCATTTTAATAATGTAACCAAAAATTATGGATATAGGTCTTTGTGAAGCACCTGATACAACTATTTGTATTCACCTGTAACCAATACAAATTAACTCAATATGTATAAATTTGGTTACATTACAAACATGGCCTTTTTTAAAACCTTGTCTTGAATGTTAATTACCTCTATAATTGCATCAGGATAATTTGAGATAAAGCAAAACTTGATTTTAAGAAGAACAGAATAGAACAATAGACCGGTTTACTAACATATTTAAATTCATGGATGTTTCTTTCCTGGGGACCTAGTGACAAGGTATTCCATTAACCTGTTATTGATGAATGAACTACAACACTTGGAATCCAGTCTGCATACATTACATGTTGCTATGTAGGGCAAGCCTCAGACTAGCCTTAACGTTTTCAAGAACAACCTATGTTTAAAAAGTATGTATACAATGTGATGTAGATGCAAAACTGCTTTCAGATGGTGAGATGGGTCCTTGCCAAGAAATGAATGTTTAACTTTGTGGGAAAAGAAAAGGGGTGCTAAAATTGCATCGGATATCATAATCCATTGCATTTTGCTTAAACCACAACGTTAAGCAAGTACCCAAGTCATCAGACACATACTAATATTTAGCTAGATCATGCACCAATTGTAGCCCCCAGAGCTTCGTGCTACGATCATTCTTATTAAAGAGAAGGTCGAGTTCTGGGAAGAGGTGAAAAACAATTTGTGAGCATTATCATTGTTGTATTGCAAGTGTGGAAGAACATCAGATAAAAAATGTTCCCTGAAAAGCATGGCTCTTCAAATGCTTTCATATTCTAAATATGACATGTAACAACATAAAAGTCGGGACGGATTTTTATGCCACATGTTCGTGTAGCCCCATATCTTTCTGTGTACAGTGCTTGTAACTTTACCAAGACTGGGCCAAATTTCTTATCATTTTGATGATTCCAGAACCTTGCAGTACACACCAATACTTATATGCTAGATGATCAACCTTTTCTGATCGATTCCACACCGTTTCTTTCACAATGCAATTGCATGACTAGAACTCAACTTTATCTTTAAACCATGACCATAACTCCGCAAAGCTGACAACTTTCTCCAATAAATACTTTAAAACCACATAGTGCAGGAAGTGAAATGCATTTTGATAAGTGCGGTTGTCTTCAAGGACCTTTCTGATGGGCTGTTAAAATTTAAAGTTGATCAAGAAGTTTAAAAACTGCCAAAGTGACTTTTCCAGCTAACAAAATCCTCTAACCATTTAAGAAGGAAGGGAAATTTATTCCTGGGAAACATCAAAAAGAGCTCTGGCCTGGGGAAAGAAGACAAAATATGAATATCACCTTCAATGAAATCTCACCTTTTAACAAAAATAGTATATTCCCCCAAAGTGAGCATCAATGAAAAAGAATCTTGACCCTGCAACATTCCAGCATTACATTCTATACTGAAAAATAAGGATGCCTGAATCCAGGCACAGATTAATTGGGGTGGGAGGTTGGGCACAGCAGCTGATGATGATGATGATGCAAATGACAATGCAAATATTTGTGAATTTGATGCTGATTGAGATATTGATGATGATGATGATGATGATGATGGGGTGGTGGTGATAACAATTGTTAAAATGAGAGCAAAATTGACAAACATGAGCCTAATTTTGCGGCTGACAGTTCTGATGAAGAGGCCCTACCACTCATCGTCATGATGACATCAACAACATGACGGTAACATATTGTAATAAAACTGTGAAAAACATGCCCAAGTATTTTATTCATTCCTCTATTTTTGCCAGATAGGAAAATAAAAGTACTAATTGTAACAAGAACCATTCAAATTGACATCCATCCATCTCCCCGATCCACGTAACAGACCCAAACACGTACTTTTAAGGGGAGGTTGAGTTCTGGGAAGAGGTGAAAATAATTTGTGAGCGTTATCATTGTTATTATGCAAATGTGGAAGAACATCAGATAAACCATGTTCCCTGAAAAGCATGGCTCTTCAAATGCCTTCATATTAAAAATATGGTATGTAACATCGTAAAAAATCTGGACGGATTTTTACGCCACGTGTTCGTGTAGTCCCATATACATCTTTCTGTGTACAGTGCTTGTAACTTTACCAAGACTTGGCCAAATTTCTTATCGTTTTGATGATTCCAGAACCTTGCAATACACACAAATACTTATGTGTTAGATGGTCAACCTTTTCTGATCAATTCCACACCGTTTCTTTCACAATGCAATCACATGACCAGAACTCAACTTCATCTTTAACTCAAACCATCATGATTTGTGATAGATCCCAATGACGCATAAATGTCATTTTCTACATGACGGAGCATAAAGATCTAAATCCACTGTGCAAACAGCATGCAATCATTGAGACGCATTCATCAAGCAGGCAAGTCACCTGTTCCTAATTCTGATTTGGTGAACCTGACCGGGACCCATTTCACACTCAAAAAGGCCCTTTGAGCTACTCTCTTCCTAATTTTATATCTGACCATTTTACATTTTGAAATATCCCTCTGACTGACTTTGTTCCTAATTTGATAGGGTGAATCAGATCTGTTCACATACATCTGATCCCCTTTGAATCAATTCTCTCT